GCGGGGGAGATCACACGTCCTGCCCCCCCCCCGTTCCTCCAGCACAGATTCTTTCATCCTCGGCGGCCGTGCAGGAGCTGAGGATGAATTGCATGAAATTCTGTGCGTGTCACCCCAAATGGCTACGCGTGTCAGCACTGACACGCGTGTCATAGGTTCGCCATCACTGAACTATTCTAACTAAATAATTCTTCATATATAAAAGATTTATGCAGCTGTTAATATTCCACAGAATGAATTTCAGATACACGTTTCAGTTTTGTTTTCTCTAGATGTTTTGCACTGCTATCCTTTCCCACAGACAGAGATTAGTTGATTATGGTCTCTGAGAAGGGTATTTTGAAAAGAGGTGTGTGTGTGCACGTGTGTGTAATGATGCTGATCCCAAGTGGAGGACCTTAATGTCACTATTTATAATGACATCATGAACTCTTCTTTCCCCTCCTTTTAGTTCTCTAGAGGATCAAGCAAGTAACCCCAGCAGCAGTAATAGCAGCCAGGATTCACTGCATAAAGGCTCCAAGAGGAAAGGCATCAAATCTTCAATTGGACGCTTGTTTGGAAAGAAAGAAAAAGGGCGCTTAATCCAACTGAGCAGAGAAGGCGCTACTGGACAAGGTAATTGATTCTCTTCACCTTTTCTAAATAAAGGAATTCCACAAATTTTGTGGAAACTGATTATTTAGCAGAAAGGGCTTTCTTTCTCTGTCCTTGGAAGAGCAGAAAATAATATGATGGAAACAATAAACATAGAACTGATAATGGCAGTTAAATTTCATTTTTCCTCAGTTTTGCAAATTCCAGGATTATATTTTCATTTTATTGAATTGTTGAATATTTTAATACAATAAAATATAATAGATGTAGAGATCCATCAAAGGCATTAGAAAGAAATAATACATGGCTGCAAAATGTATGTTGATAATATCCCATGTATATCAATAAATTGTCAACCATTGGCCTATCAATATTATTGCAGTAACCAGATCTTCTAAATAGGAATTTGAACTATGAATTATCAGAAGCAGTGACTAAAGCTAATGACTTGATCACATAGAACTCCTGGATGGATAAGGAGCGGTGTAGCTTGAAAGTAAAATAGCGGAAGCAGAGGAATTATCTAAGGGACACCCTTGATTCATTCAAGTTTTTTATCAGGATAGAAGAGGACATTTATACCAATGAGTCCAATCCCCTGATCAGTATATGAATCCAAATTAGAGCATACTGAAGTAGCTACCTGTTCTCTTAACATTTGTACGGAATAGATGCCCAACACCTTTTTTGGATGATTGATTCCACTGCTTACTTCGAGACTGAATATGAGAAATACCAATAAAATGTTCACCCTTTTTAATATACAGTATGGGAAACTGAGCACTAATCTTATTTCTAATCTTATTCATAAATATAATCTATCTTTCTATTTACCTAAATTAGTATATTATTGCACAGCAGGCTGTGAACAAAAATTACTGGATTAGATCACTGGTGGAAGATTGAAAAGTTTTGAAACAAGGAAGGACTAGGAGTACAAACATTTGCAAAAGCATCCCATAGTTTAGCAGTCAATGAAAATGACAATGTGGTATGGGGTTTACAGAATTATCTACAGAAGATTTCAAGAGCAGGAAATAAAGTCTTGGGGATCCTGTTTATTTGTGTGTGTGTGCATCATTGGGTGCTCTATCCTTCAACCCACTTTCCAAGAGTGGGAATGAATCAGGATGGCTGATAGTAATCTAATTAGGCTTTAGAAAATACAGTGATGGCAAGGAGTCATAGACCTGGGTGTTGGAAAGTAATAATGTATGAGGCTAGCAGAAGGGAAGGCATGGAAGCAGAAGTGGAAAGATCTGGATTGACAGGATTATGAAAAATGCAAGGAAGAAAGGACCTAAGGTAGGATGAATTGGTTTCATCCCACCTTAAGTCCTTTCTTTCTTAAATTTTTCATAATCCTGTCCATCACACCACAATAAAACAGTGGTTACTAATATACATGAAGAAAGTGAAACAATGGGTGAGGATAATTTTATAATTGTATATATTTAGAATTTAATGTATTATTGTAGTACTATAAAATCAATCTTTGTCTATAGTCGGATTCTCATGGATACTGTCAAATATGAAATCTTCAACCTTAAATTAAGTAAAGCTTGCTACTCTTGGCAGATTGAATTACTGAGTTTAAATTTCTTCATATCAAATTGAATTTCCTGAGTAGGCATTAATTAGTTTCTGTTTTTGAAGTTTTTTTAAAAGGTAATACCATTATATACCATGAGGAGTTTGTAGTCTAATTCTTCATCTATTGTGTTTCATAGTTTTGCTAACAGATTCAGAAATGAACATACAGGACTCTCTTGGTCTTGGCAAGCTAGGAGCACAAGCAGAAAAAGATCGACGACTCAAAAAAAAGTGAGGAAAGTTGTATTTACTGTCTTAATAAATATTGTAACAATTAGTGAAATTTATGTCTTGATTTGGGTATACATTTGATGAATTGCAGCTCGCTAGAATATTTGGGAAATATTTTAGCACAAGCTTTCACATTGATTGGATTGAATTATCATTCTAGAATAAACTAATTTCTTTCCTGAAATAAATTGTAAGAAAAGTTTAATTAACTACTTTGTGAGAACTATTCTGTTTCCTCCTCCTGAAAGAAATACTTTATAACATTTTCAAGTTTCTTAAAGAAACAATTTAAATAAACAGAAAGATGGAGATATTTGTGGATGGCAGCTTAAGAAGAAAGATGAAGATCTGAAACTTCATGATTCTCATCTTTCAAAGGATTCCTTCTCTACATTGTGAAACTGTTATACAGGGATTATCACAGTTTATCAGAATAGACTTGCCTGTCACTATCTGGGCAAATGATCAAGACATATCTCTTTCAGAAACTTCCTAAGAGCTTATTCAGTTAAAACAAAACTTGGTTTAATTAGAAAAAAAACTAAACTAAAAAAACATTTCCCCAGCTTTTTATAACCAATGGTCCATGTCTCACATCTGGCACCCACTCACTTCCTATGAGAATATGATAATTCTTTACATAGAAAGTTGACTCTGGTCCTGATAGTAAAGACCACCCTTCCACACTCATATGTAACTCTATAGCTGCTACCTTCAAACTAAAACTTAGACAAGAGGTTTGTTAACTCTCCTTTGCCAAGGAATAGGACCAATTTTCTTTAATGATGCCAGCTGCTCATTCTTGTGTCTAATGCCAGAGCACATGTGGTATTGAACAGCTGAGATGTACGAAGGAAGCATGTTACCAAAATGTCTGTCGGTATTCATACTGGAAAGCTGTTGCTAGCTTTCCAGTTTTGCTCAGTGAACTTAATGATCAGGATAAAATAATACCAAATGATATTGACTGCATATTGCATGCTTTCCTGTGGCCACATTCTGTGGAACAACTTGCTAAACTTGTTATCAACTGTTTAGATATAATTTCAGTGTTGGGGTTTTGTTTGTTTTCTGGAGGAATGCACAGGTAGTAAGAATTGTTGTATTACTGCTTCCCTTTCCAGACATGAACTTTTGGAAGATGCTAGAAGAAGGGGTATTCCCTTTGCTCAGTGGGATGGACCAACTGTGGTCTCCTGGTTGGAGGTAAGCTTCTTTTACCTACTCAGTTTAGTTAATGGCCAGGTAACCTGTGTTCATAATGGACTGATATATTTGGAAACTGGTGTTGCATATCTAGATTTAAGGCAAATGAAGACATTTGGGGGAAGTATCTGCAAATAGAATTTCCATTTTACACATTCATAGTGTGAGGCTCTGGAGTTTTATCATCATTTTGAATTGACTTTACAATATAATCACATGCCTGATCTTTTTAACTCTGCTGTGTTGCAAAGTCTGATTTTTAATTTCCTAGGATCATTTTTTAAGCAGAGGCATGTGACTGTGTGCGTAATAGCAGTAAAAGTGAGCAGGCAAGATATGGAAGACTTTGGCTATTCACTGCCCTAAGAGTAAACTGACAACCTTTCTCAAGTTTGAAATATATACATATATTTATAATGTGACAAACTTTGATTTAAACTGTATTAATAATAGAAATAACTTTCTCTTTGGGTCCTATCAAATTTAAGTAAAAATGTTGAAAGATTATGTAAATATAGAACATATGGTAGATATTTTTTGAGTATTGTTGTTTTGACTATCCTTCCCAAATGTTAATAATTCAGCATAATGTATCTTATACCATGAAATGTTGGGATGATAGAAGAAATATACAGCATTGTCATGAGAATGTATGACATAAGAATAAGAAGAATTTAATAGTCAGTCAAAATCTCATATTTCAATGCTTTTGTTCTTTGTAAATTCTTAGTATATGAAATTTGTGCAGTTTAAAATGCAGACTCATCTCTGGCCTTTTATGTTGTAGCTTTGGGTGGGCATGCCTGCCTGGTATGTTGCAGCTTGCAGAGCTAATGTGAAAAGCGGTGCAATTATGTCTGCCTTGTCAGATACAGAGATCCAGAGGGAAATTGGAATTAGTAATGCCCTTCACAGGTTAAAACTGCGCTTGGCAATCCAGGAAATGGTGTCTCTCACAAGCCCTTCTGCTCCACCCACCTCCAGAACAGTAAGCACTCTATCTTGGCTTCTTGGGATCTATAATTTGGGATTTCTTTCCATATTTAACACTAGATGTAAAACAAACACATAGGCTTTTAGTCAGACTTGAGACTGCAGGTCCTTTCTAGGATTTGGATGAAAATGGAAATCCCCATATTCCTCAGAGAAAGTATATTGTATATTATCCATTCTGTCCCATTGGAATATATGTTTGTAAAATCCGTAAAGGATATTGTGCCTTTTTCCTTACCAGAAATAATTTCACAGCAGCTTTATATGAAGCGCTGAGTTACTATTATTATTCCCATTTGTAAGTTGACTTTCTGGCTTAAATGTGCATTATTAGCAGCTATGCCAGCTATTGCAGGATGGCTTGGGTTTTGATGAACAATGCCTATTTCTTCCTGAAATGTAATGATGTACTTGCTTTGTGTTCCCTGCTTGCTGTGTGAGAAATATTAATACTTTAGGCAGAAATATATGGAACATTATGTATTGAGATTCTTTCCTGTACCCACCCAACAGGAAGAGCAGGTAATATGCTGAAAATGGAAGAAACAGACTATAGTTGTAGGTCTTTTAATGTGGAATTTCTGAAAGGTACTTCCTTCACTCTACAACAGCTTGATACTATAACAGTCCATGTTTACCAGCTGAGAGAAAATATCTATTACAAAACCATAATTAGCATTTGATAGGAGTGTCAGCAGAGTGCTAGGAAAGAAGTCAAGATTGCAGATACCTCTGGTATTTGGATAGAAGACCTTCAGGGAATTCTAAGGCTATAGGCTATGATATTGTGCAATAACGCTAGCTACTTCAAGATCTTGTAAAAGAAAATAAGTTGTTTTCAGGAGTTGAGTTCAACTCAAGAGAGCTTTTAACTGTTTTTGACATTGTCACAACTGTTGATTCTATGGCCTAAGCTATGGCTACAATAGTGGTTTTCAGTTGAAATGTTTTATTGAATATTCCTTGTTTTCTGATTCATATGTGTCATATTTTCACCCTAGTCATCTGGAAATGTCTGGGTTACTCATGAAGAAATGGAAACCATAGCTCCTTCAACCAAAATGGTAATTTTTGTGTGTGTAAGAGAATTCTGCCATCTTGTCCTCATTGTAAGCGACAGGAAAATAATTTTGCTTCTGATTTAAAAAAAAGCTTGATTTTCACCAAGCAATTGAATTCTTTGGCTTAGATAAGAAGAATAATTGAGATAACGTAAGGGACTAATATCAGTTGTTTCAAGCCATGTTGGGAATTCTGAGAATAGTTGGAAAGATAGGGCCTAAGTTGCCAAAACTCCAAATGTGCCTTTTCCTATCTGATACAAATGATCTACTTCATGTTCAGAAAGCCAACCTGAATGAAAGTGCATAGTAACTGATTTGTTCTAGTAAGAGGGTCTTTTGTGATATGTTCTGGCACTAGGCTGTGTTCTGACTCAGCCTTAGCAGAAACAAGAAATAGATTCCTTGTCCTGAAAAAACCCTCTTTATTTATCTCCTGTGAATTAATGGCATTCACACACTGAAAAGTCCAGGCAATAATCCTTCAAAGAGTTAACTGCAGTAACAGACTTTATCGGTTCTTTGAGATAATTGCCAGGCCGGGAGCTTTCAGCCGTAAATAAAGCTGTAAATAAAGTTCTGGCAAGCATTTTCTGAGGCATGAAACATGATGAGCCAAATCTTCCAAAATGCAAATGTCTGTCTCCCACAACCACCACTCCCCTTTCCTTCTATTTATTCTCCAGCTAGGAAGGGGCCATTCAGCATCCACGTGTGCCTTTCTTCCTGAGTCAACTCCTTGTGCTTAGTTGTTCTCCTCTCCTGACATATGCGCATCTGGAACAGGCCCCAGCTATTCTTCCTCCCCACTTATCTCAGTTTCCATAGGCAGCTGCCTCTCCGGTGGCTGGGAAATGTCAGGTGGCCCTGGCTTTATCTCTGCTTTCAATGCAGAGCATCCATCAGAGTCTTCCCCAGACTCTAGAACTGGCCCAAGTTCCTCCGCAACCTCCTCCTCATCAGAGTCTGCCACCAGCTCCACTGGCAGCTGGCGGGCCACAACAGTCTGGCTGTACAGATAGTTTACTTACTGCATTAATATTTGTATGTTATCACCAAAGCGAATCAGTGGATAGATCACTTGTTCTTATTCTAGTGGAAATGAATGCATTATATAAAAAAAATAATATGTTATATACAAAAATAAAAACTTTCATGTTTAGATAGGAACAAGAGAAATATGCTCACCTATCTGATCTTTTTGTCTATTTAACTATTTGTGTGGATATCTTTAAATATGCATGCTTTTTGATGCCTGCGGTGGCATTTTGTTTAAATCCATTTGCAGCTCTGGAAACAAATGAAGTGGTTTATTATGACAGAAAATGCAGAATAAATGTTTCTTTATAGATAAGCAAAGAAATACATTAGTTGTGCTTAGTGACAACAAACATCCAAATCACAATATTGGCGAAGCCAATTGTAAGATTACCAGTTTGGCACTTCACTTCGATAGCTCCTTAGTAACAAGAATAATTAACCGAGAGTTTTGTTTGTTGTTTGTTTTCAAAACTTCAGCACATTCTTGAGAGAGCAAAATGCCAACCACAATGAGATCATTTAAATTAAAAATGGTGAATAATGGTAGCCTCTTACTTGTAACTGTGTTTATGTGACAGTTTTTTGATCATGTTGATGATAGACAATGCCTCTGCTTTATTGGGGAGGGGGACAAAAATGCGGTTTCATGTGGTATCTGACTTTACTTATTTTATTGACATGCTGCACTGTCACATTTAGGATACTGAGGAAGGCAGTTGGGCACAGGTGAGACTCCTGCATTACTTTGTGGGTCCCCTCCCCCCGTACTGGAAATACAAAACTCAGTAATTTCCAGTGAAATGGAGATGTGTACCATCTGATTATATCTAATTGTCTTTTTAAGCAGTTTCTCTAAATTCATTTAAGATCTTCTTGGAGAATAATGGGAACAAATGCAGAATATTTGAAAATCTTCCTATACTTCCTTTTGGTTGCTATTGTAGTACCTTACTATTTTATCCAAATGGGAAGCTAGTCATATTTCATTTAATAATAATTAATTACTTGTCAAGGATATCAACTTATAAAATCTGCTACATTGATTTTATTGGTGCTTTTCATTTAATTTTAGCATTACTTATACTTAACCAGATCCTTTATTCTTCCTGTTTCCCCATACAAACCATTAATATATCTCTAGTATTTCTTTAACTTTCATTTAAAAAATCAGATATCCCTTGTTTGACAAGCTGAAAGTAAAAAATCCTGTCAGGAATAAATAGGGAATAGTTCTTTTTTATTTTCAGATTTTCCTTCTTTACCACTGAAAATTTTTGTTAGCTAAAAGGACAGATCTTCCTTTGACAGATAAAATCTTCTGAGCCAAATTTTCCAGCAACTCTGTTGCTTACTTTGTTTATTAATTGTAACAAATCCTATTTCACTGTGTTTTCAGACTCAAATAAAATTAACATTCACATAAAAATATCCTTCAGATAAGTTGCACTATTTAAAAAAGCTATGCAGTGTATTTATTCCTAAGGAATTGAAAACAGAATATAGATGCTTTATTTGTGTTTTAAGATTTTTGAAGTATGGCATACTTACATTACGACATATAATGTGCATGGTTAATAATACTCAGGCAATCGATTTGAGATTTTGTTACAACTGTCAAATGTATGTCATACTGTCATATATTGAAAAATGTACTTCAAGCTATATTATTTAGAAGTTACAATTTTTGTTTGAAAATTGTTTCTCAACAAAAATTGTTGTGGTAATAGAATTATTTCAGATCTACTGAAAATGATCTTGTAGTGTATATATATATATATATATATCACTTATTTCTGTGGCACAACTCACTAGTATATTCCATTAGGAATTTTAGATCTAAGATAGAAGATTTCAATTATCGCTGGTAGTTTTTCTCTACTAAAACGTTCTAACTCCAATCTGTAGGCCTCCCACTCAGGATTATTTCAGTATTGCTAATAGGCATATTTATATGTGAAAGCTAGTTTGGTGTGGTGATTAAAGCAACAGGCTAGAAACTGAGAGACTGTCAGTTTTAGTCCCACCTTACACACAAAGCCAGCTGGATGACATTGCAGCAGTCTTTTTCTCACAGTCCCAGGAAGGAGAAAATGGCAAACCACTTCTGAAAAACCTGGCCAAGAAAACTGTAGGAACTTTTCTAGTCAGTCTTTGAGAGTTGGACACTGTTGACCAACAGGAAAAAAAACCCAATTACAGTATATGTCTTGTGAATGTTATTTACTTTTTATTTTTAAAATTTCCACAGACTCTGGCTTATGGGGACATGAACCATGAATGGATAGGGAATGAATGGCTTCCTAGTCTAGGTCTACCACAGTATCGCAGTTACTTCATGGAATGTCTTGTGGATGCACGAATGTTGGATCATCTGACTAAGAAAGACCTTCGAGTACACTTGAAGATGGTAGACAGTTTCCATCGGTAAGCAAGTTTTCTTGGGACAATATCTGAAGCACTCTTGCAACCACCTTAAATTCCTATAGTCAAAGGGTGTTTTTTCAGGTTGAGGTCCATATTTCGCTTTGGAGGATAAGACAATATTCCAAAAAGAGGTGAAGCCTAGACAGACCCCAAATCTGATTTCATTTTATTCAACAGGGCTGTGCAGTGCTTTGGATTCAAAGGCAAGAAAGAGTTTGGGAATGTGCCAGGATACAAATACAGCAGTTGTCTGAAACTCTTTAAATCAATCACATCTTTTTGGATGGGGGAAAAAAACGAAGCTGCTTCAAGTAGTTGCGTAAAAGTGCTTCATGAGTATGCTATGTGCTCCAAGCACTTTTTTGCCTTTAAATCTAAAACACTAAGTGACTGTATGTTTACATTTAAATTATTTAAACACAATTAATATATTTCTCTGCAGTTATATGTTTAATAGTTAAAATTGATCATATTAACCAATACATGATGTACAATGACAATAAAGGCTATACTACTACTATTAAAATTAACATAATTAGATATTTGAAAACAAATGTTAAACATCTCTGAAACCATATCCTAAATTTGATTTAAAGTTGAAATTTAAATAATAACTTTGGATAAATAATAAGTTTGATACAGTTATTCCCCATGTATTTAATAACTTTCTGCTTCTGTTACAATAAAAAAGCTATACTTTAGTGACAGCTTGTGGAGAGGCTCTGGAAACTGCATCCAATGCTTTTGAGAGTTGCATGTGATCCTAGAAGTTCAACTTGTACACTCTGGCTTTTATCAATCCTTCCTTTGAATGAAGAGCAATAATGACAGGCATGGTAAGAGTTTTTTAGGCTGAGTAGTAGCGTATCCCATAAATATTAAACTCTCAGGTTATAGTGCATTAAAGCCAAAAATCAGAAAACTGGAATAGTGTAGACAGTTCAATATTTTTGAAATAGTGTCCAAAGTAGCTATGTATTTATGCCATTGGCAAAAAATACATATTCACATGCACACCTCTTGAAAGTAAAAGTGGTTGGAAAATTGATACGCTTTGTTCTAAGTATTGCATTGTTGCAGAACAAGTCTCCAGTACGGGATTATGTGCCTCAAAAGACTGAACTATGATAGAAAGGAACTGGAGAAGAGGCGGGAAGAAAGCCAGCATGAAATCAAAGGCAAGTAGCAATTTAGAAATGAATTCAAAGCAAGCTGCAAAAATATAGTTGTAATGGAGTCACAAGAAGGAGGAGCTGTTTCCCAGAAGGCAAAGTGACAGTAGAATTTGAAATGTCTGGAGGCAGAAAGACAGCCGGACCCTCCCTAGCAATTCTCAGAGTATAACAGAATAACCGAGTTGGATGGGATGTTGGAGGTCTTTCTAACCCTATAGTATTTCAGACAAAATGGTTGTTCAATCTTTTCTTAAAAACATCCAGTGTTGGAGCAGCCACAACTTCTGGAGGTTTATCTATTTTATTATTTCAGTTAATTGCTTTAGTTTGGTAATATACTTTTTGTAGGTGAGCAGCAATAAAAGAACTATTCAGAACTCCAATTAAGGTTCCTGGTTCTTTGGACATGACTTTAGTTCATGTTTTGAATTATATTTTTTAAATTTGCTTTTTCTTTCTATTTTTCAAATAAGTCAAATCTCTTTATGAAATATAGACCCTTTTTTAGTCAATGAATCAATTTTCCAAGTTGCAGAGAGTAGAAATATTCCAGAGGCTTTCTAATTATTGACTTTTCAGCAGGATTTGTGGTGCACGAAATCTGTCTCAGATTTATCACTTTAATATTTTTTATATATTTATATTTCAATATGTTCCTGTTGTTTTATACATCATGCTCAAGTATCCCTGTAGAGGATTCTGGCTGATGGGAGGTTGTAGTCTTGGAGTATAAGTAACTGCCAAGGGTGCAGTGTGGCTGGGACTGGGTTTTAGTGGCTGTGGTTTCTTGGGACAGCAAGACGAGGCTCTTTTGCACTTTGCTACTGGGCCGGGCCGGGCTTTGTTCTGGGAATGGGTACAAAAGAACACACTCCAACTCTTCATCCTTCATTAGATGGTGTCCTCCAAAGCTTTTTTATGGTGCCAGATGATCATCCTGGCAAGGATTAATTCAATCATGCTGTTCTGCATATGGAATGCCTCACCAGAGAGGCTTGTCTAGTACTAACTTCAATATTATCTTTGCAAAGTTATTATCATCTAAGCAAAGTTTTTTTTTAAAAAAAAATTCCTTAGATATTATGGCCCATTGTAAATATTCTTTATTTCGCTTTCTGTTTCTCATGGTGTCGCTGATTTTATAGCTGCTGCTTATGTCATTTTGAACTGTTCATGTATTGAATTTTACTCTATTTGTTTTCAACGAGTTCATTTATATTCACTGTGTAGTTAATCTCAGCCATATGTCAGCCACTTCTGTTCTGCCTGTGACATCTTCTTTCTGGACTGTGTTCAAGCTAAAGGTGTAAATATAGATTTTGGGTGTATAAATAAATTAGCACATACTTGTTTGACATTTTACAGTGGGACTTATTTCCCCAGAAATGATAGTAGAAGACTATCATGACTTGAATATACAAAATTGACTATTTTTAGATACTACACAAGTATTTTGTTCTTTTTATGTCATGAACAGCTCAGAAAAAGTGAGCATTCTTCTGGGTAATTTCATTTATATATATAATTTCAATGTCTTCTAGATGTGTTGGTTTGGACAAATGATCAAGTAATACACTGGATTCAATCCATTGGGCTTAGAGAATATGCCAACAACATCATTGAAAGTGGAGTCCATGGTGCACTTATTGCTCTGGATGAAAATTTTGATTATAATAGCCTGGCACTTATTTTACAAATTCCCACTCAGAATACTCAGGTAGGAAGAAATGTTTACACCATTTCTTACAGAGTTGATGGTTATTTCTCATATAATTAATAAACCTTCTGTCCTTTATGAAGAACACCATCCTTGGATTTTTAATCTAACACTATTAAATTAGAAATGATACAATAAAAATTACTTTGTTGTGCTATAGGTTATTACACATTTCTTCCTCTAAAGGGTAACGGGTGTCTATGAGACTGAAAGTTTATCTTACTGTTCATTTCAAATCTGTCTATGAAATCCTTTTTCTGTATTTCTATACTGTTATGAGAACTGAATCAACCAGAGTTCCGATTTTCAGAATTTTAGGATATGGATAAATGTATCTTTTTAAAACACTCACAAAGGCATTTTGTATTGTTATTTTCACAGACAGAATGCTGAACTAGATGGAGGCAATTGATTTGCCTACTAGGAGTGATAAGCTTCTAGTTTGTGAGGTCTGATATATTTGCACTAAGTTCTACCAACAGGAGGAATTAAGCTAAAAATGGAAGAGTGAAATCAAATGCAGTAAAAATACACTAGTTGGAGCTGGTCGTCTCCCATAACTGCTATGCCGTATATTAGAGTTATGCAAATAGATATATAGAAACCTATCCCTGTGTTACTAGGGGAATCTTGCTGGTCTGCCAAAAAGTATGAAGATATCTACTAGTATAAATATGAATTTATCTTCTTCTTCTTTGGTTCTGATAATAAACAATTTACATTAGTAGTTTTATTTGCCTAGATTGCTTCTATTGCATTATTTGATATTGTTTACAGGCACGACAGGTGATGGAGAGAGAATTTAACAATCTTCTTGCCTTGGGTACTGACAGACGACTTGATGATGTGAGTGTAAAGTACTTACTAAAAGAGGATGGGAATTTAAGAAATATTGTGCTTATACTATCAGTTAGGAAGCAACTGGAGATCTGGAAATAGAACTGGTATTGTAGTTATATTCTGGGAGGTTCATTGTGATGTTCAATGATGTGGAGGAAAAGTAGAAGTGGGCACTTCCACATTCCAAACATGCATGGGGTGAGAGAGGTATTATCAAATTCGGTGGTAGGGCAAGAATTGAGATGGAAGCCATCTTATTTCTTGAGAGAGAAAGCCTTAGAATTAGCAGAACATATGCTATTTTCTCTTCTTTTAGATCTGTGAGGGACAGTCGCTTGTCAAAAATAATTCCAGCAATCTTGTTTTTAAAGAAATGTATATACGTATAACAACCCTGTGTAGATCATCTAATTTAGGTTAATTTAAACACTTTCAGCTGAACAGAGCTAATCTAAGACAGTGTTTCTCAATCTTGGCAACTTTAAGCTGTGTTAAGCTGACTTCAGTTCCTCGAATTCCCCAGCCAAAATTGTAACATTGTATACAAAATTACATTTTCTGTATGATAGCATCCACTCCTAAAAAGTAGTAAGAATGATATATGTTCCTCAATTCCTTTGGGCAAAGATCTGAAGATCTTTGGAAATACTGCTATCTTCAGCTGCAAGTAGAATACTTGTCATTTTCTATTTCCATTACAGGTAGTCCACAAGTTTACTACTATTTGTTCAGTTAGCATTCAAAGTTAATGATGGCACTGAACAAAGGGACTTACGGCTGGTTCTCAAAGTTCCAGCCATTGCCGTGCCCCCATAGACATATGAACAAAATTTGGGCATCTAGTGACCAGTTGTAGTGTCTCACATTACATAATAGCCATTTGTGACCTCCCCTGCTGGCTTCCCACAATGGCCAATGGTACACCAGCAGGGAAGAGTACAAGTTGCTTGAGTAAGTCTCTTTCCCTACACCTGGACTTTCTTTGTTTGCGTCCCTCCCTTCTTCCTCCCTTTGCTCACATGCACTAAATGATGTAACAATCCCATCATTTAGCAATGACAAGTGTAATCCCAACTGCAGGCATAATTTAAGGATTGCCTGTGTTGCCACTGTAAGAGATAGTAGTGACAAACTGTGGGTCAGCCTGTTTCAATTTTTCATCCAACATCATGATTCCAAAGCAGAGTGTTGCTAGATGTGACCATAGTCTTTAATCCACCAATACATACTTGTATACTGTGAATAATATTTGAAGATATTTCTGCTTCCTTTTTCTAATATGATGAGAGAAAAAGTTCAAAGGTTTTCTCAAAAATAAATAAAAAAGATGTTTCCTGAGAAACCCAGTTCTACTTGAAACCCATGAATAATTAACCCAGTTCCAGTTTTTACAGGCTGTCCTAATCTTTGATCTCCTTCTGGAAATCGTATAGATTCCTGTGGTTACTCTGTGCAATATATGATGTAAGTATCCTTTTCCTTATAGGGTGAAGACAAGACATTTCGGCGAACTCCTTCTTGGCGAAAACGTTTCCGCCCTCGAGACTTTCATAGTATCACCATGGTTAGTGGATCAGCAGAAACCCTTCCTGCAGGTTTTCGAGTGACCTCTTTGGTGCCTCTGCCACCTCCTTCAGCACCACCGAAGAAAATGCCACCAGAAGGTATGATAAAACTACTATAATTCATGAGACATGAACTACACCATTCTAAAAAGTTAGATGGTTCTCTGGGTCGTGCATGGTGTGTATGGTATATTCTCTGTCGATATGCAGCCCAGTGTTCTATTCTTTTAAGCATCAGCCTAACTACCAAATGAATATTTTGCATTGAATTTTTAACTCCAAAACATATAGCAGAGGTTTGATATAGACAAAAAAATAGAAGAATAATTAATGTTTGCTGAAAAATATTATCTGAATTCCATGCAGAGCATTTCCTTAGTTACCTTAGTTGGGGTTAAGGAGAGAGCAACATATTTTATGAGAAGTTTGTAATACAAAATAAAATATTACTGATTAGTTGCTAATATGTTCGCCACATTGGGTTGTTTGCAAAAATAATAAAGGCAGGATGCAAACAAATAAAATATAAATAAAATATAAATATAATTAAAATATAGTATAAAATATTTGAATTCTAAAATAATTTAGAATGAACAATTTCCATGGATGCCCTTTTCCATGATCATAAACTATGAAATTCATTTTGCTATTTTTCAAGTTTATTAATAGCATTCCTTCACTGTTTTAAAATTTCTGTTACCATATCCTAAACTATTTGTTGGTGAGACCAGGATGATGTGTGTCATGGCTTTTAAGCTCATTGGATAATGATTTATTAAAATATATCTGCTAAGAAATTCACCTAAATTCCTAAATCCATAATAAGCTAAAATAGGCAGTCATCAACAGGCAACCAAAATTTCATAATGAGCTTTGCATGAGAGCTTATTGACCCCACTAATTGCATGCTTTCGTGTGCTGTGCTAAATGGTTTGCAGTTGGTGCACCTGGGTCCCAAAGGTTGGAAACATCCACAGTCCGGACATATTCCTGCTGAAATGCAATTTCCAGTGGGAATTGGCCAAGGCTCCAGGTAAGTTTAGAAACTAGGAAAGAGCAAGCACAGTCTTCATATTCTATAGAGGATCCAGAAAATAATGGATGAAACCAGAAGTTACTTGGAAGTACAGGTAGTCCTCGGCTGCAACTGTTCATTTAGCAACCGTTCAAAGTTACAACGGCACTGAAAAAAAATGACTTGGGACTGTTTTTCACACTTATTGCTGTTACAGCATCTCCTGATCACATGATCAAAATTCAAATGCTTGGAAATTAATTCATATTGATGATAATTGCAGTGTCCCAGGTCTTTGCAACCTTCTGACAAACAAAGTCAATGGGGAAGCCAGATTGACTTAATTACCCCTAACTTAACAATTGCAATGATTCATTTAACTGTGGCAAGAAAAGTTGTAATTGGAACAAAATCCACTTAACAACTGTCCTTCTTAGTAACAAAAATTGGGGGCTCAATTGTGGTTGTAAGACGAGGACTATCTCTACCAAATTCAGTTCTTACCTTCATGTTGCTAAACTCAGATATATTTTTTTACCTTTACTGGGTGTGGCTTAATCGACTTTATCTGTTAATAAACTGTTTAGTCCAGAGGTCGTATACAGAAGGTTCTGACCAGTTCTGGGGGTACGGTAGCGGAAATTTTGAATAGTTCGGAGAACCGGTAAATACCACTTCTGACTGGCCCCACCCCATCTATTCTCTACCTCCCAAGTCCCAGCTGATTGGGAGGAATGGGGATTTTGCAGTAACCTTCCCCTGGAGTGGAGTGGGAATGGAGATTTTACAGTATCCTTCCCATGTCATGCCCACCCAGCCACGCCCACCAAGCAACGCCACAACCACCAAGGGACGCCCACAGAACCAGTAGTAAAAAAATTTGAACCCCACCACTGGTTTAGTCCATGTCTTCATATTTAAGCAGGGCACAAAACCCAGTTTTCCCTACATTTAATTGTCAAGAAACAATATTAAGAAAAAAAGAAAGCACTTCATCTCTCACTAAGAAATCTTGTTATGTGACATGAGCCAGCAAAGAAATGATGAAAATAATTGACCTTTTTAGTTCCAGCTTCATCCCTTAAATGGATAAAATAATATTGGACACCAAACAGTAGAAAGTATGGTTTAAAATGAGATTTTATTAGTTTTGATACGGATTCCTGTTCAACTGTGAAGCTTTCTGGACGTCTCCTGAGTTGCTCTCCTAAGTTTCTTGAAAAATAAAGAAAGAAAGAAATAAAAATAAACAAAGAAATAAAATAAAGAAAAAATGCTAATAGTATATGAGAGAATATTATACTTTAACTCAAATTATACAGGAAAGAATACCCATCAAATGACTATAACAATGTCAATAACAATGACAGTATCCTAAAGTGAAATGCAATCTTTTCAAAACATTTATTAAAAGGAAACTGAATTCAAAACCATTTTAATAATTACAACATTTGCACTGAAGATCTATTTTATGGCATATCAATTATCACAGTAGAGCTTTTAGGCACCACCTTCTATTCCAGATTATTGGAGATGTTTTCTCCACACAGCAGGGTACTGATCAGCTTGGTTACATGCTATAAGAGATGCAAGTGACTGAAATGTCCACAAAATCTTAGTGGGTTATAATAACAAAGAGGAGGGAGCATTAGGAATGTGATGAACAGAGGCAGGGAAGGTCTCTGTGGAAGTGAAGATGACAGCTGTTGGATAAAGATAGCAAACTGTATCCCTTCCTCCCCAAGGCAACATCAACATTGATATTGATAACAGAGACAAAAACAGACTTGTCCTTGTTTATTGGGATTCTAGATGCATCACCCATTTTTTTGCTAGTGTCTGCCATTTGTTCTGCAAGTTCTATGTTTATCAGTAGAGTATATATTCTGCCTCTTCAGTAAAGGCCTAGTGATGTAATATGCCAGCTCCACTGTTTTGACAAATTTAGGTGAAGCAACCTTAATGGAATCATGTAACCTGGCAGAGGAAAAAAGACATCAACCAGGAGATTCTCCCATATGTTCTCAGTAATGTGCGTCATTCACTTGAATTCAGTCCTTTGGGGATGCCTAGCCTGTCATCCTTTAGACATGGCCCTACTGAATAGTTACTGGAGGTGCCGTGTGAGAACATAAAGCTAAATCAGTTTTTGTCAATATTCCTTTAAAATACAATAGGGGAGCTCTTTCCAGGCAGGTGCCCTTGAAATCTATTAGGACAAAACCTGAAAGCATGCAGTTTTAAAAACTGTGATCCTAATTCTACTGGAAAGTGCGTAGACACAGAAGGTGAAATGATTTTGTCAACAAACAGTACATATTTCAGAACAACCTTAATTGCTGTTGTAAAGCAAAATTAGATTGCCAGTTCAGAATGAAAACAAACGCAAAACAAACTTCTCACAGTACATTTTCCGTTCTTATTGAAGTTTAATTATCTCATTTTTTTCTATCTTTTGCAGCACATTCCCACTATCTTTATGGTTATACGCTGGCTGCTTTCCGGGAGTAGGAGATTATGCCTGCTCCTTTAGCTCCAAAGAACAGAAGCTACTGGTCAATCCTTTTAGGCCTCATGGCCAGCAGAACTTTCTTCTTCCTGCTTGTATACAACCCTTTGATCTCCTGTTTGGTATCATTAAATCCCAATCAAATCTTTTCCCTTGGCTTTAAAGATACCCTCATTGAGAAAGAGAACAGGCTTCTCTGTCTCTAAGTCTGCACTATGTATGACACCATGATTTGACATAGGTTTGGTAAGAAGTGGGTGCACCTTAATGCTGGTCTGCAGCAGTTCCTGCACCATTGTCTGCCTGTGCTACACTCTGCCATTATGCCTGAGAGCAGCAGAAGCTGCTTGTTCCTACTGTACAGTTTGGACCTAATAAGACAATCACCAAGAAACAAGGCAAATGAAGATGGGAAAACCCAGCTCTGAACTCTTCCTCAGGTGCATTGGGCTTCTGCTGGAGCTTCTCATCGCACCACAAGACCACGGACAACATAGGTCCTCAGTTAAGAAATACCCAGGCTAGAAACAAAATGGACTGGTGCTTGATGGAGAGAAGGGAGAGGTTGGTTACCAAGCAAGTTTTGTATGGGCTTTTCTTAGATCCCATGTTCATGTATGGAAGAAAATTAAACCCGATGATGGGAAAGCAGAAGATGTTCTTGGACATCTCTGTTGGATCTACCAGGAATAATCTATCTTTTCCACATAGACAGACAGAAAAATCCCCTTTCCTTCTCTCTGCATCTACAGGTAGCCTGTGATCCCCACAAAATTTTAGCTGTTACTATTTCTCTCTCCTAGGGTAGGATCTGTTTGTCTCTTCATGATGCCTTTTGCCTTGTGTGCCCCCCTATTACTGATGTGGTATTTCTTGGTGGCTGGAATGCCATATATTCATACAGTGCTGTTTGAAAGTGCAATATCCAAGAGACTGTACAGTTGCAATGTCTTTTTTGGTGTACAACTTGCCTAATACAGTATTAAATATTTTTTTAATTTACAAAGTAAGTGATCCCTTTATATGAATAATCTCTTTCTTTTGTTATATTGGTACTGCATGGATTCCAAACCCTGCAAATAGGTCAGGAATGGGTGTATGTGTGTTCCAATAAATCTGATTTTAAAACAAGGCTGATTGATTCATACTTGTCTTCTACGTGAATGCATCGTCTCTCCTCAGAATCATATCATGAATGTAGTCAAACTGGAAGGTTTATCTCATTTACTTATTCCATTTGAAAGATTTATTCTCCCTCCCTCCCTCCCTCCTTCTCTCCTATCATCACAGTATACAAAATTTATATAATTGCCTATTTTACTAATGTGACTCTGGGTAATCTACAATAAAACCAACAAAACCATCTTAACTGTTAAAACAATTAACATAAAATATAAATAAGATCACAAACCAAAATATCACATATAATATAACCATGTCATGGGCTCTTTATTATCATGAGATCCCCAAACTTGTTGGGGGAAAAATCTGCCACACATGTTAAGAGATTTCTGGAAGGACAATAAAGTAATCTCACTTCAGGGGGAATCATGTTCCAAAGAATGGATTCCACAGCAAAAAAGGCTAATCTCTGGGTCCTGTTAGATGGATAGATTTAGCAGACAGGATCTGTAACATGCATCTCCTGCTGCACCTGGTGTGATTGATGGGTGGCTGATGGGTGGCTGAGGACAGACAGTCCCTTAAATGCTACATGGGGCTTCCTGACAGAGAGAATAAACATGGGTGTCATAGCTGGATACTGTTCATTGTGCTGTTTTAAATTGGTCATGTTAATATATGAGCATTTTCCTTTAGCAATGAGTTATTCAGGCAAGATGAGCTCAGTGCTGTAAATGAAAAACACCTCTGTTGGGTGACCTGCACAGAACATTTTGTCTCTGTGGATGTGCTGACTTCTTTTGTCAATTTCACAAGTATGTGCTATTTTTGTTGTTTTTCTACCAGTATACACTGCAGACAAGGGGAATTGTATCCTAGACTACTAATAGTTGACACATGTTTCTGAATTAATGTTAAAAGCACATTTTGCAACATTACTTTTCAGTGTCTAGCTTGCCTTTTTTGATTGATTTTGTTGAGTAAGAATACCCAATGTCCTGCCTTTTTTTCGTATGATTTAATGGCTAAAAATTATGCTGTAATTAGGCTAAAGCATCTCAGGGAAGGAAATAAAGGAAATAACAGCATATGTATATAACACTGCTGCGACATTACATTTAAAAAAATGAATTGCTATTCATAGTATTTCCACGGCTCGCTTATACAGTATTATTTAAGAGAAATATGGGCTCAGAGGATTGCACTGAAAACAAAATGACCTCATGTTTTTCAAATAGCCTCAGAATGTAGAGGTTTCAAAATAAGAATCTAAAGTTGACTATACTGGTCATTATGCACCTATATTGATCTAGTTGTTAGATTCATATCTCACCTGTTCTTCAGGAATTCAAGGTGACATACATAACACCAGGGGTAAGATTGAAAAATTTTAGAAACCGGTTGCTGGGTGGACGTAACCATGGCAGTGTGGCCTAGTCGGCTGCCTGCATCACAGCAGCAGGGGGAGCATTTTCATTCTCCCCAGGCTCCGGAGGCATTCTTTGAACCTTTGGGAGGGCAAAAATGGTGTCCCCCGGGCTCTGGAGACAGTCTGGAAGCCAGAAACGGGACTGTTGCCGGACTTCCGGTACTTCTGGTAGGCCCGTTTTTCGCCCTCCCAGAGCCTCCACGCGGGCCCTGCACTTACCTGACATGATGAACAGGCCACATGGAGACTCCTGGGGGGGATGGGGGTGGGATGAGGCGGGGTTGGCAGGGTCAGCTGGTCATTTTAACTACTGGTTTGGTGAACCAGATTAAAATTAACATCTGGTTTGCCCAAATCGGTCCGATCTGGCCGAATCCCACCCCATCTTCCTCCATTTGCACCTCCCCCCAACAACCCAGTGATATAGGTTGGAGTCTGGAGAGAGTGCCTGGCCCAAAGTTGCAGCGTGAATTTTCATGAGAAAAATGGATTAACATTCTGTCATTAATTTTGTAAGGTAATCAACAAGAAAATCAGTGCTATTGTTAGGATGGCATCTCCATAGAACTGTCCTCCCTCCATGTTTTCTTTTTGCATATGTATGTTAATAATTAGAACAAATTAGCCTGGGAGAGTCTCTTATATACGTGGAGATTCATACCATTTGCTAAGTTTTGTATTGGCAAAGAAAAGTGGATGTATCAAATGTAGCACTGAAAGGGGAAGGGGGTGGGCTCAAAAGATATACAGAGTATAATTTGTATGAAATACACTTCTTTTTCAGGGAATATTTTAGTACTTTCAATAAGAAACCAAGAGAGCATTCCATGCCATCTCAAATTTAACCAAAGAAAAGCTTTATTTTTTAAAAAATCTCACAATAAATTAGCAAAATACAAAAATGATAACTGCACACAGTAAAAATAAAAAAAGAGTCAGAAAGAGAAAACTTTAGTGGCAGCATTTTCTATAGCTTTTGTGCCTGGAAATTGCAAACTAACTGCCAAAAGAAGTTGGTCGAATAGCATCTTTAAAACACACACATTTGCACACACCCACAATAAAAAAAAATAATTGGCCCCCAAAGGAACAACATTTCTAAAAACCGGGAAGGAAACACATTCTTCATTAGCATGCTGTTCTGTTATTTCTTTCAACCTTAATTAGTGTTTGCAGTAATACATCAAATGACATTGGACATACTATTCAGATCCATATTTTTCATTGAAGTCACAATATTCTTTTTGAAAACCAGGCAGAAGCTTAAATGAGTATGATTAGGCATCTCTCACTAGCTTGCCTACGTTTGAGGGGTTACAAAACAAAAACAAAACCACTTTCAGGCATATGGAATTGGATAAGTGGCTTCATTTGTTATCTAGAACAGTCAGAATTGGGAAACAAAATGCCATTGTGTTAGCTGGGAACTCTTCCCTATTTGGAATATCATTCAGTATTAGTGAGAATATAATTATCTCCTAATTATAAAATTCTAGTATCCTGTTTCTTCTATTTTACAATGTGCTGGTAATGACTAAAATGAAGAGATGGCTACTGTTGGCTGCTGCTTCAGTTCTGAGATCTCTCTTCCTGGAATGCAACAGCTACATCCTCTACCACAATACTATCCACAATTGAAGACAGAGAATGAAGATTGCGGTCTTCAGAAGAATCATCACTCAGCAAGTGATCTGTGGAGAACAAGGGAGTAATTTTAAGTGGAGAACCTTCTCTGAAAACCCAATTGCTACTAGACAAGATAGGAAGGAGGGGAGATCCTATGGGTCTACAGGGGTGTCAAACTGGTGGCCCACCGGCCAGATGTGTCATGTGCAGACCACGCCCACCCCACAGACCAAAAAACATGATATGTTACATGACATCAACGTGACACGACGAGTTTGACCCTTGTGCTAATGGAGAATCAAAATCAGAGACACCTTGTGGTGGAATTCAGTCATAATTTTGATCTGTCTTTCTCTAAGATACTTTCTATCATTTTGATTATTAAAGTCATTCAATGTATTTTTACAAAGTATTTTATTGCAACTAAAAGTGAAGATTCCAAGAATCATTAAAAGATGGATAGGTTACTATATAAAATCACGTTCAATGGGTCCTAATGTATTCACATAGTAACTTCAGACTAAGTGATAAAATCATTTAACTCTAAATTAGATCTTGTTAGCCATTCAGAATCAGGTGGACGACTGTGCTTAATAAAGTAGAGCAAACAGTCACCCTTGTCAGTGAAATATGGAAAAGTATCATTTCTCCTCCTTAGTTTCAAATCAGCTGGAGAGAGAAATATGACAGCTACAATGTTGGACCACTGATAAAACATAAATATTGCAAATTATACTGGCAGTGTGATGAGAACTGGGCTTGGTCATTAACAATTTTCAAATACAATACTATTTTTGGAGTTTTGTGTTTTTTGTTGACTTGAAGAGGTTCAATTTATACACTTATTTCTTAATATTTACATTGTATTAAAATCAATTTAAATAAACTTTCTTAGCAATAACAATAGCACTTAGGCTTATATGCCACTCCACAGTGCTTTACAGCACTCTCTGAGCAGTTTACAATGCCAGCATATTTGTCTCAATAATCTGGGTCCTCATTTTACCAACCTTGGAAGGATGGAAGGCTAAGTCAACCTTGAGCCCATCAGGGTTGAATTCCAGACTGTTGGCAGATTTAGCCTGCAATACTGCATTCTAACCACTGCGCCACCAGGACTCCTTGGGGATAAATATCACAGATAAAGCAGTTCCTTTTTTTAAGGAGCTTATTTTAAAATCTAAATTGGTGAATTTCTGTTGCTTTTCAGAAACTACATAATCTCCAGGTTTCACACACAACACTTGCTTGCTTCTAAAAAAGCAGAGTTGCCAACAATCTCCTTCACAATTCAGAATTTATTGCTATTTCTTAAGAAACACAAAAGCTTTATCATTACACGATTTTTTCCCCAGTCTGTAGTCCCATGGAAACAGTATCAAAATGTGCATATATTAAAATGTACAGGAACGGAAGTTGGCAGAGAGTTTAATTTCAAGTAAGAATGGTCAGGATTTTGGGATTTGGATTTGGATACCTGTACCCAGCCTACCTGTAGAATGAGTGCTGAACTCTAAATGAGTGCTCCACTCTGGACTGCATGAGGTGCTACTAGATCCATGGTCACTTGGCACCTGGAATCAGAAGATGAAGATATTTGGAATTGAATCAAAGTTCTTCACTGATTGCATCCTCCTTGCATTCTCTTTTGTACTAGATTAAACAGATCATTTTTATTGCTTTCTTTTCCTACCATTGCTTTTTGTTCTTCCAAAATATATTTTGTTAGGAATCACCTGTTCAAAATCTTAATCCACAATGAAAACGCTGATGAGTCTACCTTGAAGACGATATTATTGAAACAGAGTAAAACAGTTATTATAACAAAATATATGATAGAAGGGAAATAGAGCAACAATAGTTTCATCAACATCTAGACCAAAGGTTTCGGAAATGAAAAATGGTTACAGTATATGCTCCCCTCCCCCTTGTTGAATATGAAAGGCAGAAAAGGAGAAGGACCCAAACTAAAATGTAACGGGGCTCAAAAAATTTCAACATAGCTTATCGCTTTTTCTTTATCTTGGAGTTATTCCCTACCGCTTCTTGTTTTTTGGTAGCTTCAGAGATGAGCCTAGCTATTGTTCAAAATTGATAGCAAGACATGAGATTTACAGAATTATATTCACATATTACATCATTATATATAATAGGTAACTATATATGATTGTTATATATATCATTTGCACATGACGTGGGGTACATAATGAGGGAGCTGAGTATTAAACTGATTCTGAACATGTATATAAATGCAACTGGATCGCTAATGGGACGATTGAATTAACTGTTTTAAAGTATGAATTTGGTCATACTTTACCTCATCAAAGATGTTATTACTTCGTGAACTTAAGGTTCTAGCAACTGAGAGAACAATGAGATTTTCTGGATATGATTGGTGTTGTACTTGTTAACCTGTACATTGAAATACATGTTATGACCAAGTATTAAGTGTTAATCGTGCAATAGCTTTTTCTTACATCTCTGTGTGTTTTGGCATGCAGCTGTTCCTCTTGTTTCTTTGGAAATGTATGTATGTATATATGTATACATATGTACACTCACACCCACACCAGGTTTGGGTTTGTGTAGTATGGGAAGATGCAGTGAAAATTAAATACTTTAGAAAAAGACAAGAGTTATTCTGGATTTTGAATTTAAATAAATACATCCAATTATTAAAGTTGGATGACTTGTCCAAGACAACCTGCTTAACCTGTGCCAATTGAATCAGCAAATAGTTTGTAAATATGGAAATATGCAAGAGGAAAATTGGGTCTACTGGAACAAAAGTGACATGTAGCAGTGATCATCGCTTATGAAATTTCTGCTAGCACATTCTTCTTGTTATTTAGAACAATGTGGATGTGTTATTTGTATGGAGAATTTCCGAAGTAAAAAACACAAATTATCTCCATCTAGTGCTAATAAATAGAATTACCCTCGTGGTTATCTGCAATTAAACAGCTGAGTGTTTTTTTCTGGAAAAAAGTACCGGTAGGTTTCCTTCCAAAGATGTGGCTATGTTGGGAAGGGGGGATGAAAAAAAACATCTGTATGATGTTAAAGTTCCATTAATTCTACCTTTGAAAAAACCAAGATGACAGATAAGAGTGAATAGAAATAAAAAGTTACAAATTCTGAATATTTGATTGTAATTTCAAGCAGCTGCCAATGTAATTTCAATAGCTTTGATAGCAACTCTACTCTTTGTGAGATTTTATCTCTCTCAAACACACATTTCTCTCATTCAAATATACAAACATTCCTGATTTTCTTAATCTAATTATTAGAAAAACTATGTTTCTGGCAAGCTCATATATTGAAAGGGCACTAGAAAAATATGGGAAGCTGAAGTGACAAGATAAATTCTGCTACTGAGCCTCGACATTCAGGCATCTGCTCCTCTTCCTTTTGGATTGATACTCCAGGTCGGTATCCAAATGTCCGTGGGTGTTTTTAAATGGAAATGTCTAGGAACCCACTTGAACTTAGCAAATGTCAGCTCCTACCATTCATCCTATCGCTCTACTTTGACACATCTGCTAGAGCTTGATCCTGAAGTCTCATCTGTTGAATGTAACATTACCCATCAGTCACTTCTGTTTTAATCATTACCCCTTTTTTTGTGCTTATCTTGAAAAATACATCTAGGTACAGTAGTGTGCTTTCTCTAAGCAACTAAAGTATTGTAAAATGTATTTGATCATTGTGGGGTTGTTTAATTTACTATAGTTCTTCTATATTTTTGCAGTGGAGTTAGTAATTTACGGGTTCAGGCAATTTAAATAAGAAGTCCTGAAAAGTTACAAATTAATTTACAGGGATACAGTGTAGAAATACACACGATTGCCCAATAACTGCCCACTAATAATGTATGTTTAACAACACACACATTTAACAATGCTATATTAAAATAAAATTCATTCTTCTTCTGGATATATAATCTTCCAGTTTATACAGGTTTTTCTAAACCAGTATTGAGTTGCCTGTATGCTTGTTAATTGGTCAGATATGTTAATAAACATGGTTATCTTATTACTTATAGTGTATAACAAAAAATTGTTATAATTTATATGCTTGTCAGTTTTAAGGAATGTTGGTTTATTACAATGGCATCATTTAAGATAATGTGAGTTCTCTTGTGAACTGCTGTGGGCTCCTTTGGGGAAAAAAAACTCCTTTAGGATACGACAAAGTAATAAATGAGACTGTGGGCTTGCTTGGTTTTGCTTTGAGTAAGGTTATTCTGTCCATAGGCTCATAGAAATGTAATAATGCTGGATCAGATTATTTATTTATTTATTTACAAGAAATGAGTTTGTGTGGCAAAAAGCAAAAAATAAAAACAATAAACTAGTCAAACACAGATTTTTTGTCTTTTAAAAAAGGGGCATTATTAGTCTTTCTAACCGAGAATGATTGATGTTGTATACTTCTCCGTAGAAATCATTTTAACCTCAGTAGAGTTATTCAGTAGTGAGTATTGGGTATTGGTAATGCCAATATTTTAAACCTGGCATTCCTAAAAACATAAGAGCCCTTTTGGATTAGTCCAAAGGCCCTTTTGGTGCCAGAATCTGCTCAATACAATGACCAAACATTGCCACTACCAGAAACTGCCAATAAAGAAACATTGCCTATGATTCAAGAGTAGTTACATCACATAACTTTGTCTCGTCCACTTTTAGAGCTACATAAATGACAGTCATCATCTCATCAACTGTATGTGCTGAAGTATTGCGATCAGTGTGAATTTTGAACATACTGTAGCCTGCCTACGGTATTGTGGCCTGCCCACCTAGTTGGAAGGGCTCCTATTGCTGTGAGTTCTGTTTCCCTGTAGATAATTGTTTGAACCCACCCCTGGCACTTACCACTGGCTGGGTGATGGCATTACAGAAGCGTAGTTCCGGTTGGTCCCGTTCCTGTTGATTGAGGGTAGTGAGCAGAGCTTGCAAGCGCTCAATGTATTGGATGGCACTGCGCAAGATCTCCACCTTGGGAAGCCGCTGGTTTGGGTTTAATAAAGTGCTCCTTTTCAAAGCTTCAAAGGCTTCATTGACTTTCTTCAGACGGCGCTTCTCTCTGAGGGTGGCCGCACGGCGCCTATCGATGGACACACTTTTCCTCTTGCACACTTTGCATGCCCAAGGCAGACATTGGCCAGGACTATGGTCTGCCACAACTGAGACTTTTTCTTCTATACCTGCCCGGCCATCAGGACAAAGCGTCATGGCCGTTCGGTCTTGGTAGGCAGCCTGTTCGTAGTTGTGTAAATGTGGGCTCAGGTAGTTTTCCCCATCATAGAACCGGTCTGTAAAAATGTATGGGTTGGTCTCTAGGAGTTCCATAGCGAGCGTCTGGCAAAGCAGAGTCTGTGTTGGGGAATGAAACTCTGGCTCCTCACACCAACTGCTTGGTGGCATTTAAACCCCGTGTGGGCATTAAATCACAGAGATAAATATAGCAAATCTCTAGGAAACCTGAGCTTGCCCTAAGCTGCTGCTTCACATCAAAACTTGTCCATCTGATTTCATGTACTCTCCCTATGGGGATTAGTTGGCTGCTTGGGGCAGTGTTGTGGCTGAAAGGGGGGCTGGAGGGGGTGAATGGATGAAGGAACTGGCATGTGCTCCAGAGAAGCCCAGCCGCCTCTCCAACAACAGTCCCGTGGATTTATTTTCACTTGCGCTCCTACAATGATATTGATGATCAGTTGCTGAGCTGGCCGCTCTGTGCAACATTCCTTTCTCATCTGCTCCTTTCAGTTATTGCTTCCTGCCAGTCCTAAAGCTTCCTAGAGTTTGGGGGAAGAAGAGTACCAGGACAGGCACAAAGGTGAGCCCAGAGCATTTCCTGAAAGGAAGATTCACCTCTCAATCTCTTTCTTGGAGCAGGTGACACAATTTGGCTGGAGTCTTCTAAACTGCACAAGCACTGCAGCTCCATGCTGGAGATGTTTGACCACTGATTTATTGATCCCCAGGCAATAAATAGTGCAAACATACTTTACCCATAAAATGGAAGAACAGTTCACCAGATCATTCCTTAATATCTTGAGATGGGATTACTGTGAGGAGCTCTTCATACAGAGACTGGGAAGTTGTTGTTAGTTGCGAAGTCATCTCCAACCTATTGCGGCCACATGGACAACCTTCCTCCAGGCCTTCCTGTCCTCTACCATCCTCTGGAGTCCATTTAAGCTCATGCTTATTGCTTCGGTGACTCCATCCAGCCCTCTCATTCTCTGCTTCCAACTCTCTACTAGCCATAAAACTTACTGAGCTGAGGTGGCGCAGTGGTTAGGGTGCAGTACTGCAGGCCACTTCAGCTGACTGTTATCTGCAGTTCAGCGGTTCAAATCTCACCGGCTCAGGGTTGACTCAGCCTTCCATCCTTCCGAGGTGGGTAAAATGAGGACCCGGATTGTTGTTGGGGGCAATATGCTGACTCTGTAAACCGCTTAAAGAGGGCTGAAAGCCCTATGAAGCGGTATATAAGTCTAACTGCTATTGCTACTGTGTAACTTAGAGCCAGTTGAGTTTGCACATTGAGCTAAACCATGGGCCTGGATATAAATGATGATTGTATTTCTTCAGGGCCAGGAGTTCAGGGCATTTGTTTCCTTTATCAGCTGTCTTTGTTCTCAGATTGGTTTACTTTGTTTCCTCTTCAAAGATCAATAACCTGGAATCATGAAGGCAACCAAATCTGAGCTGCAAAAATCCAGATGACCACTAGATGGTCAACTTTCAATTGTACTGAACTTCCCTATCCTTTCTCCCTCCAAATATATTGAACTAACCCGCCTTTTACACCAAATCAGCAAAGCTGGCTAACAGTTAAAAAGCTACCATCTAACGTACCTAAAAAGGACTATCTTGCATGGTCCAAGCTGCATTGGTGGCATAAAATGCATCTGGATAAGACAGACTGTACCTCTAGCTAAGGCTTGGAGTGGGGCAATCCTTGCCCACTCTGAGCTGAGGAGAAAGTAACTACTGTTCCAGAATGCAGGAAATACCTTTCAATGTTTTTTTATTTTGCTTTATTTATTTTATGGGGGTTGGCGCTTATATCCGCTTTGAGGCTATTCAACCAGCACTTGATCACCGAAGACTTTCAATGGTCATGTGGCCAGCATAAAGTCACAGAGCGCTGTTACTTTCCCACCAAAGTGGTACCTATTTATGAGTACTGCCCCTTATATTTGGCAACGACTAGAGGAGTGAAATCCCAGGGACTCCTTTTATTTATTGTAACCTTTTTGGGAAAAGGAGGTGTATTAAAACTGCTGTAATAAACAAATACAAACAGAAAACCTATTCTGTGTGTTTCATTGCACCATCTTCTGTTGCATCTCTTTCTGCACTTCATCTTACATATGCTGTCATTCATCCAAGGTGCTGGGAGTGAACCAACTCAACCAGAAGAACATAAATGAGAGTTCATAGTCAGGATCTCTTAATGCTTAATGTATAACTAATCCCCATTAAGTGATTCTGAGAATGGGCCCTTGCTTAAGAGCAAGAGCAGCGTGCTGCTAGATCAGACTCAGGGGTATTTAACACGCTTTGCAAGAATCTAAGCAAGCAGCAGGTGGGAAGGGGGAGGATGACTGCATTTGGGGGGGACTATAAATTGCAATGACACTGTGCGGCCATTGTCCAATCCTCTTGCCTCAGTATCAAATGTTTGGTCCCGTGCCAGATTAATGGGTGGCTATACAAAACACTTTCTTTTAGGCTGGGCTCACATATACTTAATTGTACTGTATTCTATTTGGTTTTGTCAAAGCAAGTTGTAAGTATCTTGCTATATATTTTATAAATTATATTAATGACTTAGTTTATGGGTTTGGTCAGCCAATTCTGATTTATTTAATAAACTATGAGTAAATGTTCCATGGCATAACATTTGGTGAAATTTGAGTCATGGGTTGGACTCATTTTAAGTTAGAATTAATCAAAACTCTAAACTTTTGGCTGCTTCCAATACTAGTGCATGAATCATGACTTTCTATACATGGTCTGTTTCCAAATAATAATCAGGTGTTCCACTGGAACATACTGAAGCTGCTTAGGAGCCAAATTTGCTGAAGATAGTTGTTTACTATCCATGCTGTATTCACACCGATTCACTGGATTATACACCAGTCCACATTGGTTTCTCCAGTGCACTGGATACTCAGTACCGACTTTTCTTTGTCTGCCCCCCCCCCAAATCATATGACAATCTTCCAGCAATTATGAGAGTAGAGAAATCATCCAGCTAGTCACGAAGGATTGCTATTATAAATGGATTTCTATGGAGATTCTCAAACCATCCAGGTCATGGTTATCCCAAAGGTGCTTTTCAAAAGGCAACTGGGCTTGCCTGATTTTTACCCTGGAAGGCATTTTGCTTCTCATCCAAGAACCTTCTTCAGTTCTGATTGAATGGTGGTGAATGGTTGTTGATTATATAAAACTTGAAATTTGAAACTTGAAGATTCATATTGTAAATAGAAAATAGATGGAAAAGAAATGATCAATTGTTTATTTTTAAAGAGAAAGAAAAATTCATTGTTTGTACATGTTAAAAACTAGAAATTGTAAAATAGGAGAAGAAAAGTAATATGGCTAAAATTTGAAATAATGAAAATATAATGTAAAATGAATTATGTCTTTTGGTGGGAATGTTAAGGGGAAATTCGGACAACACTGTGTTCACAAAATAATTTTTATTAGGTAACAAAAATAAATAAAAAACTTTTAAAAAAAGAATGGTGGTGAATGGAAGGATGTACAGTATATTCTTTGCAGAATATAAATGGATTACTCTGTTCTGTTCTTGGATAAACTTAAATATTGCATATACAATCCCTTCTTCAACTTAAGATAACACTTCATGCATCTTACTAAAGGACTCAAGTCCATGAAATATTGGTTCTAATAAAAGTTATAATCCAAAGGATTCTTTGGTTTAAATGTTGAGTTGATCAGTCATAGTCCTTTCCTAAAATTATTTGTTTTACTATAGTCTTGGGAATTGTGATCTTCTTGCTGGATTCTCAGCTAGCACACTCATGACAAGAAATAATCTGTATCTGAGGTCCCATCTCTGTTCTAGCGAAATAACAGAAAGTATTTTGGAGAGGACTTCAAAAGGTCTGGGTGAGATTACAAAGAAAATAAGTGGTTATAAAGAACCCATTTTGTCGATATGCTTCATTGTGAAGTATTGCTGTGTTTTGAACTAGGATAATCGATAGCAAAAAAAATAAAAAAATTTCCCCCTATAATGGATTTTTTTCTATGTATGGGATAAGCAGAGACAAAGGAATCCATTTAAAATGTCCATCACATCACTAGCATCAACTTTGCATCATCTTTGACAGGGCTGTAGCTCTCTTAGATTTAAATGCACAGCTATGGCTATTTCAATTCAACACAGAGAAATTTAAAACCTCACAATGATTTCCTTATTTAGCACCACCCAGGCATCTTGTATTCTAGCTACTTATTAAGTAAAGTTTTATTTTTCATTTGAGCCACATTCTTCTTTCATTGTTTTTGGAGAAATAATTCACACTACATTCAATAGAGCTTAAATTTGACTGTCTGGCATGCATAAAGCCAAGATATGAGAGTTGACCATCCATCCTGTTCATCTAGCATGGCTTTCAGACCAAATACCAGTTGAGGGTCTGGTCAATGGAAAGAATGTAAGCCAAAAAAGAAAAAAAAAGTAGCGATATTTTTCCTTTCAAAATCCCCCACCCCGTCAGAGGGACTTTCTATTTTATTCACATTTCTCGGCCCACAGGCTCAATGGGGAGGGACTTTGGGCAAATTTCTAGCATGTTTTGAATTTGCCCTATACAGTTAGCAGCCACACCAGCCTATGATTCATTAGGGAAGGCTAGGACTTTTTGGGATGCTCATAACTGAGCTGCCTCACTTATGACCAGAATATGATGTTTAATTTTAAACAGAGCACAAATATAATTGCTTTGAGAATGTGCCTCCCTTACCCACATTTTTGGCTATATTCATTTTTTTTGGCATCTGTGCAGCATGCCTAAAAAGTATGCAAATACATACATGCACACTCGGAAGAAATGTGCTTTTGCATTTATTTGCAAGTATGTGCCTTATTTTAGCCTGCTTCATATCACATGTTTCAAGAATCAGTACATTTTAATTATTATGCAGAGCGGAGAATTTCATCTAATGGAGTATGTCACAATGCTGTTGGGTGAGAAAAGCAGCAGTCTGGAAAAAAACCCTCTCTTGCCACATTTTCTTTAAAGTATAAGAAAAGTAGGTCATCCCTGTCTTGCTCTAATTGCATGCAATACCTGGAATTT